GCTGATTTATGTAAATCAAGGAACAGTGTTCATTTGCATATTTCTTTCACTTTTTTATTTATATTCTATCACAGTTCCCCTAATACCATCATAGCTTTTTTTTTTTTTTAATGGCATTGACTTGGTGAAGACACCAACCCAATTTTCCTATGGACACCTTTTAGATAACTGTTTCTTCCTAATCTCATTACACTAATTCCTCCAGCTGGATTCTCAGTGAATTGCAAGGTAGATCTAAAAACTTAATTAGATGCAGGTTAAGTCCTTTTGGAAGGAATACGTGAGTGATGATGAGTTGGGTTGCTTAACAGGAAATGCTTCCGTTTGACTCCAAGTGGAGGTCTCTGGCCCATAGAGAGGAGGAGGGCGTTTTCGTAACTAGATCGAATGCGGGTACAGCATATGTTTTCTAATTCAGTCCCTTGCCTGTTCTCCTTCCTCCTGAGCCTCTAGTGCAGCATTTCTCAACCTGGGGATCGAACGACCCTTTCACGGGGGTCGCCTAAGACCATCGGAAAACACATTAATATAATTACATATTGTTTTTGTGATTAATCACTATGCTTTAATTATGTTCAATTTGTAACAATGAAAACACATCCTGCATATCAGATATTTACATTCTGATTCATAACAGTAGCAAAATTACAGTTATGAAGTAGCAACGAAAATAATTTTATGGTTGGGTCACAACATGAGGAACTGTATTAAAGGGTCGTAGCATTAGGTAGGTTGAGAACCACTGCTCTAGTGAGATGAGAAAGGAGAGAATGGACTTGTTGCCTGAGCTTCACAAGTCTGGGAGCTGCCGTCTTGCCCAGCCCACGTCTCTCCCACTCTCACATCCCCCTGAATGTGTCCCTGCACAGGACACACTGCACTGAAGCAGGACCCATGCCCACTGGTGGGAGCCTTCTTTCCAACTGTTCAGTTGGCCAGGGCCTGAGGGCTCCACTCCCAGGATTTCCGTTGCACTGGCTGTGCTTTCATTTAGAAGGTGATAGAACAGGGAGCTGCTTTGACTTCCGACACTACCCAGAGTCAGGCCACACCTCACAAGTGAAGGGCACAGTCCAGCTTAAGACCATCCTCACTTCAGACACCAGAGGGTTCCGCAGACCACCCTCAATTCTGACTAGCTAGCTACAAATTCAGGGGTCCCTACCATCCTCTCAGTTCCAATAATTTACTAGAATGACTCACAGAGTTCATGAAAGCTCTGAACTTAGGATTACCATTTTGTTTTAGCAAAAGGATACAAATCAAAAACAGAAAAAAGTAGAGCCTCATAGGGCAGTGCCTGGGAGGGGTCCAGATGTGAGGCTTCTGGTTGTCCTCTCCCATGAAGCCATGAATGGTATTTCTTTCCAATTATGGCAATCGTATTGCCAACCAGGGAAGTTCACCCAAGCCTTTGGTGTCCAGAGTTTTTATTTGGGTTCTATCACTGCATGGCTGACCTTTAGTCTCCTGTTCCTCCAGATGGGGGGAAGGGGTGGGCATGGTGAGAAGTTATATGGTGTTTTCAAAGCCTCCATCCTAAATCGTATTGTTAGATATCACAAAGCCCCCAGGCAAACAGAGAGACTCCGGTCAGGCCAGACATTCCAGGGCTCTAGAGACCTTCCCCCAGTAGCCCAAGGCAAAAGCCCAACCTCTCTTATTACCCAAGAACTTAACTTATTACCCAAGGGCTGTGGTTTCTGCACTGAGAAAATAGATTTGCCACCTCTGGCTGGCCATGGTTCTTTCTAGTGGCTCTGTGATCTTGGGCAGCAAACAGCGCTTGTATGGGCCTGGGTTTCTTCATTTGTGAGAGAACTGATTGACCAGATGACCGCTGAGGTCTCCTGGTTTTGGAGCTCTTTCTTCCAAATAATGCCAGAGGGAAGGGAAGGCAGGAAATGCTCCTGTGGACAGAGAGGCCCAGGTCTGCGGCCAGTGACACTGGGAGAGCTGGGTACTTGTCCAGCCAGGGGCTGAGTCAAACGCAGACTGCCTGCATGCATTTGTGAACAGGAAGCAAATAAAACCCATTCTCCTGGGGCTGGAAGAGAAACTTGCTCCTGATGTTATGGGCTTTTGCCACAGCTGGAAAGACTAGGAACTTTTAGTATCATTTAATTAGAAAATTAAAAATGAATGACCTAATCTCTCTGGTGTTCTTTTCAGACCTTCACTCCCCAGTTTCCCTGGTGTGACCTT